ACTTTCCCCGTACTCGTCTTGGGAAGCTCCGCCACCACTTCCACCTCCCGAGGGACCATGAACTTGCTGATCGCACGGTGATTTTTGGCCCACGCGATCACTTCTTTCCCATCTAGCTGCTTCCCCTGCTTCACAGTCACAAATGCCTTGGGTCGCTCGCCCCAGTGTGTGTCCGGAACCGCCACAACTCCGGCTTCGAGGATGTCGGGGTGGGTAACGAGCATCGACTCGAGAGCGACGGATGATATGTTCTCGCCTCCTGTTCAGCCTTGGTCAGCATTGGGTTGACCGAGCCACGCCGAGGACGGATATTGCCTACCACTGATGATGATGTCCTTTGCTCGGTCCAAGATCTGGATTGCTCCGTCTGGGTGCCAAACCGCCAGGTCCCCAGAGTGCAAGACGCCCCCAGCGAAGAGCTTTCGCGTGGCCTCGGCGTCTTTGTAGTACCCCCGGGAGCAGATGTTGCCAACAAAGGCGATCTCTCCTATCTCTTGGCCGTCCTGCTGGACGTCGATAATGGTTCCTTCTGGCACGTCCGTCTTAATGACTCGGACGGGCAAACTAGTCAAGAAGCCATGTCCTTGTCTCGCCATCTTCTTGTATTTCTCTTCCGCCGGCAGTTGATCCCATTGGGGCATGTAGTAACCCTTGGTAATCGGCCCATATGTCTCCGTCATCCCGTACACATGCACCGGGTGCAAGTTCAGGTTGGTCATCTGCTCGAAGAGATGTGGGGTCGGTGGGCTGGCCGCTACGGTGACTTGGACCGGCCGTGGAAGCCGTTCGGCCTCGTTGGCAGCACACAGCAAGGTATTCACCGTTGGAGCCGCGTTGAAATGGGTGATGTGTTCTTGCTTCAGCAATCTCCAAATCTCCGGATAATCGATCTTTCGCAGGCAGTAATGGGTGCCACGGACGGCGGTCACTGCCCAGGGAAATGTCCAGCCTGGAAGAGTCAGTCGGATGACAACAGGCTAACGACATTGGAACAGAGGATATAACTAACCCATTGCATGAAACATAGGTAAAGTCCATAGATAACGGCAGCGGCCCTGTTGCAAATTCAGGCCAGACTCGATCACATTGGCCAAGGCAGCTAGGTAGCAGCCACGGTGCGTGAACTCGACGCCTTTGGGACGGGCCGTTGTGCCACTGGTATAAGCAAGAGCAACGACATCATCCTCGGAAGCAGCCTGGCTTTCCAGCCCATCCCAGCCTTTTGCGCCTGTATCAATGTCATACTTGAGACCTTGTAACACAGCCTCATCGAAAGGACCGGAGAGTTGGCCTTCCGTAGCATCTGTGTCCGTGTCGACTATGATAGGAATGTTCGGCTTTGCCGCTCGATATGCCTGAAGCAGTGGTAGGTATTCTTTGTCCACAATGATGACCTCGGCATCCGAGTGCGTGAAGATATAGGCGATATCATCTTCTTTGAGTCGGTAATTGACAGCTGATTGATGTCAATGTCAACATCTGCTGCAGGTAATGTGGAGCAGAGCTTGTCCTTACCAACGTTGATTGCTCCAGCAGCAGCTATCCCAAAGATAGACTCCAAAAAGGCAGGGGTGTTCGGACACAGAATGCCAACCCGCTTGAACCCATGCTTCTTAAGATAGTATGCAAGGCCTCTAGCACGATCTGCAGTCTCAATATACGTCCTTCGCAGAATCTGATTGTTTGACGTAACATGATAGATGGCTTCAGCCTATCAGCCACCGGTTTTCCCCAGTCAGTTCAATGAAACCAAAACAGTCGCTGTTTACAAAATCATCGGCGCAAAGAAAGAAAGCCTCACATCAGGTTCAATCGCCGCAGCACGGGGCAAGAAGAATGTGGGCGAGAGCGTATGGTAGTTGATGCGATGCACCTGCGGAGCAGGGTCCTTGGTCTCCGAGGATGCAAAATGGCCCAGTAGACCCGACAAGCGAGTCTTGACAGATGACATGATTAGCGGCTTGGAGGCGGTAGCCAACAAAAGAGTCCAGATTCACAAATCTACAAGAAACCAAGTACTTCCAGTTCCAGGTGTATATAATTGTTGCTGCTGCTTGGATTCGCGGAACAAGGGAAGCACCATACAACAAGCAGCCGAATTGGAGACAGAAATGCGGGGATGATCGGCTGCTAGACTGCTTTGGACCGCGGAGAAGTTGGCTTACCCGCAGCCTACAAAGCGGGATGCGGGTGACTGACTGGCTACACAACTTCCACAGGCCTCTGTTTCAGTCCAATTATCCTTGGTACAATTAGAAGCAGAATGCATTGAAGGAGAATGAAATAAGAACCCAATGACCAGTTCTGTGCCGGATTATACTCTGTACTGCAAAGTCTACCCCAGCTTATCCGTCGCGTGTCTTTAAGGGTAACCAATCAACCTAGGCCTGGACAGGCTCACTCCGGTAAGACACTGCAGTCATTGCACACCCAATACCGATTACCGAGCGGCCATACTTAATACTACGTAGGTAGTAGTCAATGCATAGTATGGTACTCTATGACATCGTACAACTTCAGACAGATATACTAGGGCCCAGAAAGTTAGGCGCTTAAGTGATCCGCACTCGATCCGCACTCCGTACGCCCGTAACATCCGAGGCTGGCCATTCATGAATTGAGTTGTGTCGAATTGACCTCGGACGACTACGCTCATCGACATACAATGAATCTAACCTTATACTCAGAAGAACGATGGAACAATGGAACAAAGAAAGGACAGAAAGGAGCATTGTCAATGGTCATGAGAGTCATTCTTAACTCGAGAAAATCTTTGGATTAAACCGCGACGGCGCGAAATAACGGTCAGCTATTTTGAACAACCTTTCATCCCAAGCGACTCCGTATTTTTTACTTTTGAATATGAAATCGGTTCCTGTAGCCTCCATGTCCGTCACAACATGAACATTTGTGGTAATGCATGATGAGGTAGGGACAAGGGAAAAAAGGTCGATCGGTTTGCCGTCCAACCTCGCTGAAAGATAAACCGTTTGCGATCCCAACCCAACCCATCACTGAGACAAGCAACCAACCGCGCAACGAGGTATCTAATATCCGTACTCAGCAAGCTGGCTCTTGGTCTTCTCGTCAACACCTGCCGACTTCTGGGCGGAGACGAGCTGGCGGCGAGCGGCCTTCTTGCGCTCGTAGTATGCACTGCTCTTAACCTTTCTCCGCTCCTCAAGTCTAAAGAATCATCCATTAGCCATGTCCACACCACCAGATAACCAAAGATCCAAAGCGATAAATACGCACCTGGCAACAACGTCCTGGTACTTCCAGCCAACCTCGTGGCTGAGTCTACCGACGGTGCAGTACTTGCGGCCGGGGCGGAGTCTGAGGACACGCAGAGCCTGGGGAACGACGACGCGCTTCTTCTTGTCGTAGGGGGGAGGAACACCCTCGAAGACCTTGAGTCTCTCCAGAGCAGCAGCACCGCGGGGGGTCTTGTGGGGGATCATTCCGCGGACGGCCTTGTAGAAGATGCGGGAGGGAGCACGGAAGTGGAAGGGACCACCACGAGTAGGGTTGAAACGAGTCATCTTGCGAAGGTAGGCGTGGTACTTCACTGTATCATCGAAAGTGACCATGTCAGCTCTTTGCTCCGAAACCAGCGTCAAACATAGCAACTCCAATTTCTCCACATCTCGGCATATCCCTGCCTCATCCTCCTCTTGCGCCATATATTGAAAGGGGATGCAAAAACGAATCTGATCACGTACGCTTCGCACGGAAGAACTCGCCGGAGATGTTGAGGGCTTCACATCTCACAACGACGATCTTCTGGCCGTTAAGCAGCTGCTTAGCAACAGTGCTGGCCAGGCGACCAAGAAGGTGTCCCTTGCCGTCAATGACGACCTGCGAATTTCCCAGCACAAGTCAGCGATCACTGTAGTTGTAGATAACATTGACCATATCTCTCTTCCTCGAAATCTCCAAAGCACAAATGACAACGAGGTTTTCCGGCGGTATGCATGTGAAAGGGGGTACGCACGACTGGCTCGATGGAGGACATCCTGCTCTTCTGTCACCGTCTGAAAAGGATAATATCCAGCGAAAGGAAGAGCGCTGCTCTAGGATACTCCCTTGGGATGTATGTTGTCGGCGGTTGTTGTCGTCGTTGTGGTCGAGTTCAACGCACACAACGAAGTCGGATGGTTCGCAGGTTAGATCGCTAAGCGAAGCTACTACCCTTTGTGTGGAAAGGCCATTTGAGGGCCACAGCCCTAACCCGGTCCAATCCCGTGGCTCGAGATCACGTGAACCGCCTCTTTTGCCCTCTGCTCTATTCCAGCCCAGTTTGACCATTTCTGGGTCCAGAAGACAAATTGTTCCTTGATAGGCCAGTCTCAGACTGTTCCACCAAAAAGCAGCACTTAGTTGTCTTTTTATTATTGTGGTTTATCTACTCCGTAGGTTGTCGCCGGTGATGTCAATGTCTTCGTTCGGCAGGCCGACTCCGGCGTCTATCCAGAGCCGCTCTCTTCAGCTTAATTAGATCGCAACGTCAAATTCAATCAATGGAATGAGAGGCATTGACATCCTTATGGTCTTACAGCCATAGCTTCTGATACCTATTTTGATTGAGCTCAAGGTAATCAACGATCGGCCAACGGTCAAATCTCATGAAGATTTCTTGGCATCATCTATATGTATTCAATGCTTCATGTTGACTAAGATTGGTCGACGTCTTACCTGACGCTCATATCATGATATTCGGGGTTGAAATTGCGGACAAAGATCATGAGAAGTCCGCTCATTAACAGCTGAGTCTATAAGTATCCAAAGCTCAAACACATTTTATTCTCTACTAGTCCTCGTGTGTCGAAACCCACTTCGAAGCCTTGTATGAGTCATGTTGGTTCGTGTTTGCTATATACAACCCAGTTCCATTGAAAAAACTGTGCTACTGCTACATTATCTCCAGCTTTGAACAGTCAACCTTGTTGCAAAGGTCGAATCACAACGGAGCAGGCTTGTTTACAGCCTTACGACGACTGATGAGGCTTCGAAAGACGCGCTTCGTTTGTGTCTCTGACACGCACGGATACACGCCATCAGAAGCAGGGTTCAAACTACCAGCGGGAGATATCTTGATTCATGCAGGAGATCTTACGAACCAAGGCAGTCTATCCGAGTTGCGCAAAACGATCGAATGGATTTCCGAGGCTGACTATGAGGTCAAGATAGTTGTCTGCGGTTAGTCTGCCTGATGGGAATGAATATTTCAAACCAACCTCATGCGGCAGTCATGAATGTTTACTGATTAGTGGAATTCTCCAGGCAATCATGATATTACGTTAGACACAAGCTTTTATGCCAAATACGGATCGACCTTCCATAATCAGCATCCAGAAAGCTCCGAGCAATGCATTGAAGTTGTGAGGGCAGGATCACCCTCGATACTATTTCTCCAGCACCAGTCAGCACTAGTCCGCTTGACCCGGGCCGACGGCCCCAAGACCACATTTAAAGTATTTGGCTCGCCCTACTCCCAGTTCATCGGGAACTGGGCATTCGGATACGAGTCGGCCGACGCTGCTGCGCTCTGGGGGCAGATTCCATTGGACGCTGACATTGTCGTCACGCATTCGCCGCCTCATTCTCACTGTGACAGTCTGAGCACTGGCGAGCTCGTCGGGTGCAAGGCCCTGCGTCAGGCATTGAGCAAGGTGAGACCTCTGCTTGCCGTTTGCGGCCATGTACATCATGCGCGAGGCTATGAGAGGGTCAAATGGTCCTCACCATCGTCATCCAATGTCGGACCGGAACAAACCGAGCATCAGGCTATGCGAGGTGTCCTGCCTCCTCTAGGAAGCAAGAAGCAAAGCCTAGTTGATTTAACGGGCAAAAGGGCCGAGCGTCTGGACAACGATGGCTACTCTGTCGATGCGAACCCAAATTTGCCGACGGCACCATTCATACCGTCAGAGAATGCCCTGCTATTGCCCTCAATCACAGCCTCCGCACCCATGATGCCCGACAGTCCGAAGCAGAGTCGAATTTCGCCTTTTCCGTCCCTTTCGAGCTCAATCGAGGACACTCGCACTGACGAAATCCGGTTCCGAAGAAAGGAGACGTGCATCGTCAACGCCGCTATCATGGCAAGCAACTGGCCGCACCGAGGGGGGAGGAAATTCCATCCTCCTATTGTAGTTGACCTGGAGCTGCCGACCTGGACAGAACCTGAGTAGGTTCAGTCAACTTACAACTCTTGTAGTTTGGGTATATCTACCAAGTATTCCAGTCCTCGAAGTCTATTCGTTGAACTATGAACTGTTATGCTCTGTGCGGCTCGCAGCGACAATGGAGCTTTGACCTACAGTCGGCGAATAGATAGACTACATTTCGGGGTGTTGTGTAGCTGCCTTGATGAGCTCGATGACATTCTGGCAAGCAGAGCAAGGCCTCGGGCTATCTTCATTACATCATTTCTTCAAGATATTAGATGTATCTGCAGCCTTTGAGCACACGGTCATCACCACCACATGACAAATGACGACTTGAAGACCACGAAACAAAGCACTCTATCATTCCACCATAGACATTTACTGAAACCTGATCAAGCGACTTTCTACCCGATGAACATTATCAATACTGATGAATGTCTAAAGGTCATCCGCAAGAACCCTCCATCACCTGATCGAGTAATGTCACCAGCTCGAGGCCGACCATACCCAAGGAGAGCGCTTGTTACCGCCATATGAATGGCGGAGGAAATCTAGCGCGGTGATGAGTATCTTGATCTTTCTACCAGAGGCAGATACTTTGTAGTTGACGAAGTCAAGATTATGATCCCACTAAGAGACCACACGAATTGGGTCTCCTTGTCGCAAGGTCTTAGACTATCTCAGGCAGGCCATCAGGCCTACAATCCGGCCTCGTAGAGAAGTACCTAGTCTACAGCGTGAAAAATACAGGATCACAGAAGGGTTTAGTTAGCGTCTTATACGACAAATCTCGACTCATCATGACCAAGTCCCCAGAGCTGAGGTTTCATCAGCAGCTAAGATCTTATCTAAACATCCAGCCATAAAAAACAGTTTTCAGCAGTTCGTATCCAACCTCCTCTGTGAATGCTGACTGCTGAGCAGAAGCGTGGACCCAGCTGAATACCATACTCCGTATCGGTATTCGTTCCAGTTTCTATCAGCACCGCGGTCAGCGCCACCTGCTGGGGTTGGCGCGCTAGCCTTGGATTAATTAATCGCTCCTGAGTGGGTCGACACTAAGTCTCTCTTGGGGTCTTTGATTGTTCCGAGTGGAGGAAGAATCTCGATGGATGGATAACTAGCCGCCAATTGATAAGATTGTTCAGAACTTCAGATGCGCCTGGCCAGATCGGGGGTTGACTCTAGTGGGAGTCGTGACTCGTGGCCGTACTCAGTAGTAGCTTAGTTGTCTACGACACGACCGTTGCCGGCAGGAAATCGCTCCTGGGGGTAGCTGCGATGTTCGGAGGAACTGGAGCTGCCCTTGTTTGGGTAAATGCAGTCAGTGCCTGGATATGTTCTATTTCTAGGTCCCTTGGGTAGACTGCGCCTTGTAGTACCCCACATTTTAAGTACATTGATGCGGCAAGCCATGGATCGCCTATTTCTGGTGCGGGCAGAGCAGTTGATTTTCCTTGCAAGAAAGTACTTTGTGAATGCCAGGAGATCATATGTACAGCGTCCATATTGATAATTCATTAAAGCTAATTACTATCATATCAGTTGATGATCATCGAAATGATACAGGCGGAGGCTGAAGAAACTACAGGCCACATGGTCAGCCACTAGTACTTACTCCTTCATCCCAGTGCTCAATTCAGTGTTTCGATAGACTCCGGGCTTCTGTGACAGCTTCGCATCGTTGCCATCGGTCATTTGGATGAAAATACATCCCACACACTAGAAAATGTGACATTGCCATTATTCTCACCGGTGGATGGGCCCCTGAGCCTGTGACTGGATATGCGCGACCATGGAAGGTGAAGCAGCAGCCATGCACGCTAATGCCGGGGCAATCATCACTGCATGGCAAAGGCGTGCAGATGGTTGGCTCGTTTCTGGAACGGACCTCCTGTGCAGATGACTCTCCCAGGAACCAATTATGCTTCCAGAAGCGTCCACTTCATGTTTCGAAAGCGCTCGGAGCTTTGGGGATGGCATATTGTCACAGCAGGGATGGGATAGGCCAACTGGCAAAGTAGGGTGATAGCCATTACCAGGTCCGGTCTGTCAGATTACGCTGTGGTTCGAGCTTCTGGAGGAGTCAGCCACATCAAAGGATGTTTATCCGCTCTTCCCTTCGTCCTGTTCGCCTCAATGGATCGCCAAAGCCCTGGAAGCCTAATGCTATGAATGCGGTTGAGCAGACACTAGAAATTAGCCGCTCATGCAAGGACCATCCAATTGTCCAAACCCAAACCATGAAAAAAGACACCATCCGCTTGGACATCTCAGCATTCTCAGGCGGCTCAGGCCTCAGGTACTGCTATCGGCGGAAGTGTCACGGAACCGGCCGGGAGCCACCCACGGGACCAGTTTCACGCGAGCGAGGATCGGATCGATGATGGTTGTAGCCGTGGATACGTTGGAAACATCAGCCAACGACAATTCAATGTTCCTGGATAAAAGGTCGCATGTAAAACTAACTCCGCACATGAGAGATGTGATGACTCTGATGCTCCACTACTCCTGATTAGCGAATAAGGCGCAAGACCACAGAAGCTCTCAGAAAGGAAAATCAAGGGGAATGATGAACCTGTCTCTGTACTCCGTATTGTGGGACAAGAGCCGTGAGGGACCGGGTGAGCCAATTCTAGACTGCGAGTGCAGCAACCACCTGCGATGGGTGAGGCAAGATGCAGAGAGGCGTACCATCAAAAACAGGGCCACACGGCGATGTGATTGGATGTATAGGTCGACCCCGGCAAAGGCGAAAGTGATGATGGCACTTTGTCAGCCTATTAGGAGGAGAGATCATCGGGCGAAAATCGAGGACATGCGAAGTGTGGCCAGTGTTGCAGCCAGTCAGTCACAGCTGGCGCCAAAATACTAGTGCGGGGTTTTCTGTTCCATCGTCTCTTTGCATGACATGGCTGCAGCGGAGTCCTCTGAAAGGATAGCGGTGGTCAGACTGCATGCTGGAGGTGATGTCCCCTGGAAGCTGATTAGTTCATGTTGAGATAGAACACTATCCAGTCATGATGGAGCATGGAGGGGTACTCTGAAATTGCCCCGCAAGCCCTGGCTGATGACGGTTGGCTGCACTGCTGCTGGCTGGCTGCTCATCTGCCAAAGAAATGTCAGTACACCGGAGGATCATCAGGATTAGGTGGTTTCTCGCACCAAAGGGGAGGTATCCCCATTTTCTGTTGTCCTGCAGACCCTCCCAGAAAGCTGGAGCGAGGAACTGAGTTTATTCAGTACTAGACGAGAGCAAAATAAGGCGAGTAGAGAGATCACTGGTGCTCTTATTGGCATATGGGTATGCTCTTGGTCAAATATACTACTGCTGCTCACGGGGTGATAGCATCTCTAACAAATATGTAGTGTTGCAAGTAAGTACAGGGCTGTTGCTGAGTCTTGTTAGTGCACAGCATCGTCAATCATCCATCATACTCATCTCCATCGTCTCTCCAGCCTGATTCAAGGCTGAGTATTTATTTGTATCACATCTGTTCCTGATTTCCATTCAGCAGGACTGGTACCTAGAGCATCCTTCTCAGGATCTCTAGCAACCTGACTCTAGTCAATTGATTTTATGATATCCAATATAATTGATTCTCTTCTAGACTAGCTATATATCACTTCATCCTCATTCAATGCATGGCCGCTCCCTGAATCGTCAAAACCTTCTCCAATTGTCCGCGTTAATTGTCATTATCATTACTATCTATCAAATATCCTCCGCTTCTTTGGAGTCTCCAACAGACCAACTTTGAGCCAGACCAAGCGGGTCCCTAAACGTGGTTTCACTTTCGTCCTCTTCTTCTCGTCTTCGATAATAATAATTATCAATTAATCGATCTATCCACTTCCCAGCTACTCCGCCCACCTTTTGACCGCTAATTCGAATTGAGATCATCCCTTCCCCGGCAACCAAACGAGCAAAAGAAGAGAATCATTTGGATACTTAGAAAGAGACGACCCCGGGGGCACGCTCACTCTCTTATGTGTGATCTTTTGCTGAGCCTTCACTACCTGATTCCTACCAGCAGCGCTGCATCTTCCAAGTACCAACACCAATACCAACACCATCATCATTGTCATTATCATTATCATTATCATTGCACCAATCTCGTATCCCATTCCAACCCAACCTGCAGAGGAAGCGTCCCGATCGAACTCCATTTGTTCCTTCACCTCCTGTGGCATCATCGAGCATCTTCCACCTCGCTCTTCTTGACTTTCATCGTCATCACCGTCATAACTAGAGTACTCTCATCATTACTCATCTTGATTCATCTTTGAGGTGTTCGCCTACAATTCTGACTAAGAGTGGTGCCACTTCACCGACGTCGACAACCAGCGTGGCGCAGTCCATATTGTTCTTGGGGCCTTCACTGCTGGCCCTCAAACCCGTCCAATTCAAACTTTTCTCTCCGGCCTGTCCCTTTTTCGCCTTTTGAATTTTTCTCCGAGTGTGATACTATTATTCTAATTTGCACTGCTACTACCACTTTCGCCCCTCTATCTGACCAACAAATCAAGGGTGTCGGAGAAAAATACCCACGGAAATCCAGACCCAACTATCCACTCCTGATCCAAGAGGTGGCTCCTTTTTATATTAATATTAGTTCTGCCTCTTCCAATCATTGTCTTTCTGGCTGTCGTGGTTTTCAGGGCCGATTCCCCGTGGTTGTTCCCTTGCCTTGTCGTGTTCTTATTGCTGATCTCTCGCTTTTCCCACCCCCATATATTGCTCTCAGACCAGATTACATGATCCTCTTGTGAGCATTCTGCCGTCTTCGCCGACATTCTTAGATGAATTGGTCGTGTCTTGTGCCAGGAATCTGGATAACGAACCATTGATCGTCACGAGAACCCACGTCACGGTCGTCACCCCATCGCATCCGCCCACCTTATCCACCCGTACCTAGGTCGGCCCAGGTACACTCCCGTGCTTCCCACCGCCTCTCGCCTCTTCCATACCGCTCCCCTTGGACTACCATTTTGCTTTATCAACTCACCATTTCGCCTCTGGT